TGGGTTTGGACGTTTGTTCTGATATACTTGTCGGAGACGCCATGCGCAGGGGTATTTCTGGAGGACAAAAGAAGCGTGTCACTACAGGTAAGACTTGGAAGCTTTTTGGTCACGATTTGTTTATGACAAATGTTTAATTTGCAGGAGAGATGCTCGTTGGGCCTGCAAAGTCTCTTTTCATGGACGAGATTTCAACCGGTCTTGACAGCTCGACCACATTTCAGATAGTGAAGAGCTTAAGGCAGTTTGTCCATGTGCTCGATGCTACCATGGTCATCTCCTTGCTCCAGCCTGCTCCCGAGACGTTTGAGCTTTTCGACGACTTGATTCTTCTATCGGAGGGGCAGATTGTATATCAGGGGCCCCGGGAACTCGTGTTGGATTTCTTCGAGACGCAGGGATTTAAATGTCCTCCGAGGAAAGGCGTCGCGGACTTTTTGCAAGAAGTTACGTCAAGGAAAGACCAGGAACAGTATTGGGCTGACAAGAGGATGCCATACAGATTTATACCTGTCCAGGAGTTCGCGGATGCCTTTCAAAAGTTCCATGTCGGTCAGAACATTGCTGAAGAATTGGCGCGGCCTTTTGACAAGAGTAAAAGCCATCCGGCAGCTCTTGTCACTCAGAAGTACGCTCTTAGTAACTGGGAGCTTTTCAAGGCTCTCTTGGCGCGGGAGATACTTTTGATGAAGAGGAACTCATTCGTCTACGTGTTCAAAGGTTCTCAGGTATGCTATCGAAGACTAAAATCTATATATCTGATACTAAAATTTCCAATGCAGCTGATTGTTATAGCCGTAATCACGATGACTGTGTTTCTCCGGACCGAAATGCATCACAGAACTGTTGGCGATGGCAGTCTCTACATGGGAGCCTTGTTCTTCGGCCTGATGATGGTCATGTTTAATGGATTGGCGGAGTTGTCGATGACCATTGCGCGCCTTCCGTATTTTACAAGCAGCGGGACCAGATGCTATTTCCTGCGTGGGCATTTTCTCTTCCTAACGTGATCACTCGAATTCCAGTGTCCCTGCTCGAATCAGCACTTTGGGTGTGCATGACGTACTACGTGGTTGGATTTGCTCCTAGTGCCGCCAGGTTTGTTACATTGATGTTTAGTGAGAAATAGTGTTGATATTTTATGTTTGAGTGTTTCAGGTTCTTCCAGCAGTTCCTCCTCATGTTCCTAATTCATCAAATGTCGGGAGGTCTTTTCCGATTCATTGCTTCACTTTCTCGGACTATGGTTGTAGCGAACACCTTCGGCTCTTTCACGCTGCTGATAGTTCTTGTCCTCGGTGGTTTTCTTCTTTCTAGAGGTAATCCATTGACTATACTCAGGTAGCACAACTTATAATGGTCTTTAATTTCCAGAGGACATTGAACCTTGGTGGATTTGGGGATATTGGTCGTCGCCCATGATGTACGCACAGAATGCGCTTGCCGTGAACGAGTTCAGTGCATCAAGATGGCAGATTCTCGAAAATGCCAATCAGACCACCACCGTTGGCAACCAAGTTCTAGAGTCTCGAGGCCTGTTCCCCAATAAAAACTGGTATTGGCTTGGAACTGGTGCTCAGTTGGCTTATGCCATTTTCTTCAACGTTGTTTTCACTTTGGCACTCGCTTACTTCAGCGGTACGTAGAAATCTATTTCTTTTCTCCATGTAGGTACTCATTTTTTCTATTTAAACAGCTCCTGGAAAACCGCAGGCCGTAGTGTCTGAGGAAATACTAGAAGAGCAGAACGTGAACCGTACCGGCGAAGTCTCAGAAAGATCAGTGCGTGCAAAATCAAAGCGATCGGGCAGATCTTCTAATGCAGGTAATGGTGCCATCACAAATTTCATTATATGGTCTAACATCGAATGCCAGGAGATTTGGAGCTTACGTCTGGTCGAATGGGTGCCGATTCTAAAAGGGGAATGATACTCCCGTTTCAAGCTTTAGCAATGTCATTCAATCATGTTAACTACTACGTTGACATGCCCGCGGTATGCTTTTACGCATTTCCTTTGTAGGATATTGAGTTCTAATGCACTTGTAACAGGAAATGAAGCAACAAGGCGTGACAGAAAATAGATTACAGTTGCTGCACGACGTAAGCAGTAGCTTCAGGCCTGGAGTCCTCACGGCTCTTGTCGGTGTAAGCGGTGCTGGAAAGACAACTCTCATGGATGTTTTAGCCGGGCGTAAAACTGGTGGCTACATTGAAGGCGACATTCGCATCTCCGGCTATCCCAAAAACCAGGCTACTTTTGCTAGGATTTCGGGTTATTGCGAACAAACTGACATTCATTCACCCAACGTTACAGTGTACGAGTCACTGGTTTATTCTGCTTGGCTCCGACTATCGAATGACATTGATAAGGGGACGAAAAAGGTAAGGAGAGAGATGTTTTTCGTAGTCAAGTTTGCTAAGGTGAGTTTTGGAACAGATGTTTGTGGAAGAAGTTATGGAGCTTGTAGAGCTTAACCCTCTCCGGGATGCGTTGGTTGGTCTCCCTGGAGTTGATGGACTTTCGACCGAGCAGCGGAAACGACTGACAATTGCCGTGGAGCTCGTTGCAAATCCTTCAATTATTTTCATGGACGAGCCAACTTCCGGACTGGATGCACGAGCGGCAGCAATTGTCATGAGAACGGTCCGCAACACTGTCGACACCGGTCGCACTGTCGTCTGCACCATTCATCAGCCTAGCATTGACATTTTTGAGGCCTTCGATGAGGTACGGGATTATTACCTTGCAAACTCTCTTGAAAACCTGCCTGCTTTCTCCAGCTTCTGTTGATGAAACGCGGAGGGCGCGTTATCTACGCAGGTTCCTTGGGAAAGAACTCGCACAAACTTGTTGAATACTTCCAGGTAAGTCGCTTGCTTTGTTCTTGCAGACTTGAGATGATTTATATGGATTAATTTCCCCAGGGTATCAGCGGTGTTCCTAACATAAGAGAAGGATACAATCCAGCTACATGGATGTTAGAGGTTACCGCTGCAGACGTGGAGAATCGTCTGGGAGTAGATTTTGCGGACATCTATAAAACTTCTCCAGTCTACCAGTAAGCACACTTGACCATTATCTCTTTCTTGGCTAAACCACTGGTGTGTCTAGGCACAATGAAGCTATTATTACTCAGCTGAGCACTCCGGTTCCCGGCACGGAGGACATATGGTTTCCAACGCAATACCCTCTGTCGTTCCTCGGACAGGTCATGGGATGCTTGTGGAAACAACATCAGTCATACTGGAAAAATCCATACTACGTTCTGGTTCGCATGTTCTTCACCTTGGTTGTCGCGATAATATTTGGCACAATGTTTTGGGACATCGGCTCCAAAAGGTAAACGTTGTGTAGTTCAATCGAGCGTTGGTTCTGACTCCTGCCTTTCTCTCGTGAGCAGATCACGAGAACAAGACCTCTTTAATCTGATGGGATCTATATACGCTGCTGTGCTCTTCATTGGGTTCAGCAATTTGTCAGGAGTGCAGCCAGTCGTTGCTATCGAGCGAACGGTCTACTATCGAGAAAGAGCCGCTGGAATGTACTCTCCCCTTCCATATGCTTTTGCTCAGGTAAGGCATACATCCGACTCTTCAGATTTCGTTTGACTCATCAAGGAAAACTCCGTGCGTCCAGGTCCTGATCGAGATTCCCTACGTGTTCGTGCAAGCCTTCGCGTATGGACTCATTGTGTACGCGACGATGCAGCTGGAATGGACAGCAGCCAAGTTCTTGTGGTTCCTCTTCTTCTTGTACATGACGTTCCTCTACTTCACGCTCTACGGCATGGTGACGGTGGCGCTGTCACCCAACGACCAGATTGCAACCATCGTATCCTCGGCATTCTTCGGAATCTGGAACCTGTTCTCTGGCTTCATCATCCCTCGACCCGTAAGTTCATGAATTCCACACATTTCTTTTCCGATTTCTTAACACTTTGGTTTGTTTCTTGGTGTCTCTCAGGCAATTCCAGTGTGGTGGAGGTGGTACTACTGGGCCTCGCCACCGGCGTGGTCTCTCTACGGCCTCTTCACGTCTCAGCTTGGAGATGTCACCACGCCGTTGTTCCGGGCCGACGGCGAAGAGACGACCGTGGAGCGCTTCTTGAGGTCCAACTTTGGGTTCAGGCACGACTTCTTGGGCGTCGTGGCCGGAGTTCACGTCGGCCTCGTCGTCGTCTTCGCGGTGTGCTTCGCCATCTGCATCAAAGTTTTCAACTTCCAGAACCGATGATCGATCAATTGGTTTTCGTGGGAGAAATTCTAAAGAACGAAGAAACTCGGTGCTGCCCCCATAACGATAGCTCCAGGGGCATCACAACATTTTTTACAATGAAGAGAATGTACAGTTTTCTTTGAATTATATAACCAGCCAAAAGGCTGGGTTTTTTTTTTTTGAATGTGTACTTTAGAATATTCGGTCTCACGCGGGAGAATATGCCACGAAATTGAAACGCGGAGGAGCGAGGAGGAGGGGTTGAAACCCTCTGGGTATTCTCGTGTTCTTGATGGTTTGGGGACTTCTCGCGGAGGCCGCCCTAGCGCGTGAAGGATCGATTTTGGGAGCTCGGGCGGCATGGCATGGCGTCAGTTGCTGGAGAAGGTATGGCGCTCTCTTTCCTCTCTCCCATTAGGGCTGCGCCCGCGCTGATTGCCCGCGGATTTCGACCACAGGGAGGCTCCTCCGCCAAGCAGATGGTGTCGGCGGCATCCTTGTATGGGCTGGGACGCGCGATTGTGTTGAAGCAGCTGGATGCAGGCATTTTTCTATCCGATTTCCCTCGTTCTCTTCCCGTTGCTAATGACGCTTGAATTTCGGATGGCGCAGGGATCGTGTTGAATCGCCTCAAGAGACGCTGCATGTCGAGCTACACAAGCAATTTCTCGAGAAGGCTGGAGGAGCTGGAGAGAGAAGGATGGCCCGATGCTCGGAGAAACAAGTGAAGTTTCTAAGAGATCTTAACAAGGTGGATCCCGAGGGAGTGATTTGGTGGTTCGAGAGTAGACCACTTCCGCAGCACAGCGCCGGTGCTTTGGCCGAGTATCTCAAAGCTCTCGTCAAGGTCGATAGGCTCGATGACAGTGCCTTGTTGAAAACGCTGCAAAGAGGTAAACGCTGTAACTCTTTCTTTATCGGATCTGATCCTCTTTTTTTTTTTTAACTGTGTAAGAGTAACTGCATCGCTCAAGCTGAGGCGCGACCGATCATGTCTTCGGCATTTCCGGCAGTAGGAGCAGCCACGAAAGACGGAATTTTGGGCTCTCCCAGTGCGCCAATCCACATGGTCACGTCCGAAGGAGGTTTTAGAGTTCAAGTGTGGCGGACTGTTCGAACCTTGGCTCTGGGCTTTCTCCTTCTCTCTGGCGTTGGGGCCATTATAAGGGCCTCAGCAAAGGTAAGCATCGTAGAGCATGGCTTGCAATGCAGCGACTGGAAAGACGATGCTGGCTCGGGCAACTGCTGGTGAAGCAGGGGTACCGTTTTTCTATTGCAGCGGGAGCGAGTTCGAGGAAGTGTTCGTCGGATGTGGTGCTCGGCAAGTGCGGGACTTATTCGCAAGCACTCGCCATGCATAATCTTCATGGACGAAATTGATGCAATAGGTGGGAGCTGAAATCCCAAGGACCAACAGTACATGCTGGTGGAGCTGAACGGTTTCAAGCAAAACGAAGGCATCATAGTGATCGCGGCTACGAACTTCCCCGAATCTCTCGACAAGGCGCTTATCCGTCCTGGTCAGTTCGATCGGCATGTGGTGGTTCCAAATCCAGACATCCAGTTAGAGAACATCCATTTATGTATAAACACCTTGCTTTTCTTTTTTTGTTTTTTCTCATTTTTTTATCTCTTATTTTTCTTCTCTTCTCTTGAACTTTGATTTTTCTTGTATAGATAGCAACACGTTTTCTGGCACAAGTTTTATAGTGAAAGAAGATGCTTTAGCTATTTGAACACCTACCTAGAGGTCACATTAACGTTCTTGTTACATAAACGTATAAGTTTAGTCTCTTGTTATATGGGTTGTAGTGTTCTTCCATTGCAACTTTTATGAATCTTTCTTTTTCATAATTATTTTTTTTATTAAATGTGTTGTGGGTTATGTAAAGCACCCACAACACATAAACTCGTCCCATGTCTAGTGTCATTTTATATTTAGTAAATTTCTGTAAGCTCCTGAATTTAGACTTCCCGAGAGGTCACCCAACCCAGTACTATTCAAACCCAAGGACGCTTAACTCCAACTATCCCAAGACCCTTAACCGATTGAAAAAGGGGGTGCACTCTTATTCATGAGCCCTTTCCCTCTATATTTAAACCCCATAGACCGTCTCTCAAGTCGTTCCCTTTGGTTGCTTACAATCCACCACGCTTCCCTGCAAGTTCACGCCCTCGTGAACGGAAGCTGAGAGCCGCAGCTCTCTCGAGAGCCTCGCTCTCTTGACACCCTACCCCTTGGGTCAAGCCCAGCGGGAGCAAACTGGACCAACCAGATGTCAATCAACATGTGGTGTGATTCCCTTAGCCAACCAAAAGAGTCGGACCATGTGGTGTGATTCCCCTAGCCAACCAAAAGAGTCGGACTCGAGACCCCTCTGATACCAAATGTAAGCTCCTGAATTTAGACTTCCCGAGAGGTCACCCAACCCAGTACTATTCAAACCCAAGGACGCTTAACTTCAACTATCCCAAGACCCTTAACCAATTGGAAAAGGGGGTGCACTCTTATTCATGGGCCCTTTCCCTCTATATTTGAACCCCATGGACCGTCTCTCAAGTCGTTCCCTTTGGTTGCTTACAGTTTCAAGTTTGTCCCAGATACTAACTCCTGATACTGAGGGAGGCTTAAGGTGAAAGCCCAAAGCATGTGTTCCTTAAGGGGGGGTGGGTGGTTGGGCTACGGGGGGGTTCCAAATGTATATTAGGGATAGTGGGTAAGTTGAGCATGGCTAACCAACCTGAAGCTCCTGCTTGTGTGTCTGTCCTTGTTCTGCGTCTGGCATGTGTCATATGGCATAAAGAAGGTTTAGGTTCCGCTTTTTGGTGTTATCCTATGGTAAATCACCATAGGATAAAGGGTCAAAACCACATGCATTACATTTTCCCTATAGTTTTAAAAGTATTTTTCATTTATAAATTCTTGCAAGTTGACTATATGATTGTGGCTTTTACTTCTGGCTGCTACACACATCATCAAATTTGTAAATGACTAGACAAGCATGCATAGCATATAGTGGTAATCACTACAATACTAAAAAAAAGAAGACGAAAAGGTAATTTTAATGGGGTAATTTATTTTGTTTATAAGCATGAATTAACATTATGAGCACCACTCATTAGATTGAGTTTTCATTTTATATCTCAATTTTATTTGTAGAACAAATATATAGATATACTACTTAATAAAGAAATGTGTTTTAGGTATTTTTAGAAATGATAAGTAGGCTCTAAATATAGAAATACACCCCTTTTTTATACAAAGGTGAACAAGCCACACTATTGAGGAGTAAGGTTGTTTATTCACATTAGTTGAGAGCAAAAATACATAAAATTGGGAGTTTGATCCATATTTGAGTATATTGACAGTCATATGTAGCTTCTATGCAAATGCCTCCATGCAGCATTTACATAAACTCCAATTGTTTATGTTCTTTGTAAGTGCTTCTATTTTGTATAGATAGGTGAATTCTTTTGTTCTCTATTTAAACAAATTTAAAGTTTCAAAAACTTCATAGGATCTACTTTTGCATCCTTAATGTCATGCATCCTCTTTTTCTACTTGGGCATAGCTCAACATGTACTCCATAGCTTCCACCCTAGACATGTAATGATCTTTGCTAATATTGTTCTTGAAAGCAATGGAGTGCAACTCATTACCCTCTTTATCTTAGAGATGGAATTGCTGGCTTCTATAATTGCCACTTGAGATTGGTAGATAGAAAGAAAAGGCTTTTACATTAGAGAGCTGATGTCATTAGTCTATTTGCTAGGAGGAACTTCTGTAATGTAGCTATATAATCTAAGTATATTCTCCCTACACAATTGCAAAACTAAATTTTCAAGTTCCCAACTGTAGTGTGGCAATAGAGAGGTTGCACTAGATCTATTCTCTGCAATGAAGTGCTAAGGATTAGTTAGATAAGAATTTAGAATAAGCTAATATCTTGTGTTAGGGTGGGGTTCCATGTGTCCCTTACCTGGAAATTTCTCCACCCCAGAAAAAAAACTCCCCCCTTCTAAAATCTTATAACCCTGTTTTACTAATATAAATGTATGATTAAAAAATGAAAACACGGCAAGCCGAAGTTTCCAGTTCAATTTTATACCATAATTTTTCAAAAATATATTAATTAACTAGCAAGGAATCCAGCTCTCATGGCAAATTTTTAATGATGTCTTACTAAGATAGAAACATTGTTCAAATACAATCTTGTAAATATTTTTAAAGTACATGCATACCATATGAAATAAATTACATGTTGATTTTCATGATCTGCTCAACATTTTAATTTTATAAAATAAAAATTAATAATGAAGTTTTTATAAGAGAAATTTATTAATAAATCTAATATTTAAACTGTCAAAATAAACTATACTTCTGACTTTAAAATTAACTCAGAGATATTTATATCACTTTTTGGTAAAAATAAATCATTATATACAAAATATTATATATACAGCTTAACAAAATCCCATATATACTTTAAAAATTAAAGATGTGTATATTCATAAAAGTCTGGATAATTATATTAGTTTCTTATAAGGATTATTATCTAGTTATTATAAACATTTTAAAGATTTAATTCAATTAGTTTAACTTCACATAAAATATTTTAAAGTAATATCTGTTTTCAAACATTTTGTTATTTAACTTATAGCATTCTTCCCAATCTTATAATACATAGTCTGTTTAAAAGGTTTTTTGCCCAATGGAAGGGATTATCAAGTATTATAACAAGTTGAGTTATAAGTTTATAATATTCAACATGACATTCAGGAAACCAATCTTTCATAAATTATATATATGTAACAATTAAAGCACTTGGATTATCAAGTATTATAACAAGTTGAGTTATAAGTTAATAAGATTCAACATGACATTCAGGAAACCAATCTTTCAGAAATTATATATATGTAACAATTAAAGCACTTTACAAAAGGATCATGAATAAATTATATTATCTATGGATGCACTAGTGCCTTCTCTTTATATTCTTCTAGTATTGACTATCCTTCTGAAAGGAGTTATATTATTGTATATTATCATGAATGTAGTGAAACTTTAATAAATACTGGATTGGATTCAATTTGGACCACTTTCTACTCAAATACAATAGAAATTTATATGTAGTTTAAGTGTTTAAAAACTTCACTTGGACCAATGGAAAAATGCTTGTTAAATACTAATCCCAAAACCTAACATTATCAACTTGTGGCAATTGTAAATATAAAATAACTATATTAGCAATACAAATTTATGAGTATACCTATAATATATATACAAGCTAGAAAGATAATAAATAAGCATCCCAATTTAAATATTGAAATTTTATATATTTTGCAATCATCCCTTTGAAGGTCATAATGATTTATTCCATGAAACCATCATTTTATTAATTATTAACACACAATGATGTAGTGTCTCCTTAGTTGAGATATTAAGATGTAAAATGCTTCAACCATATGTGTGGGATCATTATTTGATCCACTCTCTTTGGAACACCATTTGACAAAAAATATCTAACAACAAATACAAATGCAACTTCTACTAATGGGTTAAATAGTTGGATTAGCAGTAGTCAACCACAAAAAAGCCTTATTAAGTAAAACACTATTAGCACAAATAAATGGGAAATTATAATTGATTCTAACTATCAAATTCAATTATAAGTCTATCAAGATCAACTTATATGTCTTTGTGAGAAATGCAATACCCAAGATAAATCTTGGGATCCAAACAAGCAATTAGACTACTTTAGTTTCAAATCAATTTGACACAATTAATTTAACACCTTTTGGATATTATAGACATATATACTCTTATTATGTCCCTTTTGAGTGGATCAAAGTATCAATAATAATGTTAGTAGTTATTTTTAGCATATTGTAAAGAAATTTATCTATTATCCACTGGAAAGTTGCAAAAGTATTATTCAAATGAAAAAATCATGTAATAAAATTTTGATTTAGCACTATCCATAACAATTTAAACTCAAGTTTATGATCACACAACTAAATTTGTTTTATGCTATACATATGCATATGGTTGTTGTTATAGAGAGTGAAAACTAGCTTTACCATATGATGCAAATGTAGAGAATAAGATATGGTAACAGACAGAGCAATGAAAGATAAGTTTAAATTCGTATAAGGAAATACAAAAAAGGATAGACCTTTTATTATAAAAAAAACTTAGAAAGTGGTTAAATAGGTATTAAATGAACCTCTTGATGAAAGAGAGCAATAAAAAAGAAATGGAACATTTACAAGAACAAAAGAAATCTAAACAATGCAAAAGTTAAATAAAAATAAATAAATAAATCCAATTACTCTTAACATTGCCCTTCATCTCCTATGTATAATATGTATATTTATATTAGTCCAAAACTCTAGGTTATATAGAAGAAAATGTGGATCAAAATGCTATTATATTTTTAATTTTTTAAAATTGAGGTGTGAGGGCCAAGTGTACAGCTACGATGCCGTATACTAATATTAGCATAGTGGGATTTTGGTAACCGTCGGATTGGTTTCAATTCGGACCACTCGCTCCTGTATATAAGCTAAGGTTTTTGGGCTAATTGATATGCACATTTCTGTATTCCCT